GGGTCTGCCCTGTTGGCCTCACCCTTTCTCATTCACCTCTCCTCTCTCCCTCCGCAGACACCATCCCAGAGGACTATGAGACGCAGGGGCTGCTGCAGGCCTAGGGATGGGTGGGGACCTGCCATTAGATGACGGCCACCCTCAGGCCTGGAGCACTGAGGGGCAGCCAACCTTGGGGGAGGGAAGAGATCAGAGAGGACAAAATAAAGTGTGTTCGGCAGGATGGTGGCTGTGGTCTCTGCTTTGGGGAGACGGTGGAGTCTGGCCTTACTGCCGACTTCCGTCTGAACTAACTAGCAGTGTCCAGTTGCTGCAGCTCTCCCACCCCTGAAGTCTCTGCTCCAGGATCCTGGGGGGTTAGCTGCTCCCCTTCCAGGACACAGGTCCAAGTAGCTGGCTAGTAGGGTGAGGTTGTGAGGGGCGCACATCTGTGTGTCCATATATTCATGTGTGTGTGTGGTTCCCACCAGGTGTACCTGTGACACACATATTTCATCTCTGGGTTGGAGAATGGGGGCAGGAAAAAAGGGGAGGAGGCAGAGACGAAAACATTGGGTTTTTATTAGGTTTCATTACAAAGGATGCAAAGGTACAAAGACAAAAGCGTCCACGCCAGAGGACAGGCAGGGGCTGGCCGAGTGCGCCCTGAGCCGCCCGCCCCAGCCCGCCACGGGCACCCACACGCACGGCCCATGGGACATCCACAGCAGAGTGTACATGCTGGGGTGGGGTGGGGCAGAGCCAGCCTGGGGACCGAGGGACACAGGTGGGGCAGGGCTCAGACCGATGAGTTTGCATATATTAGAAGTGCCACCCAGCCCCCTTGGGGGCAATTTCCTGGGGGGACACATTAAGGGGCAATGGACTTTGGCTGCCAAAGGCCTCCCTCCCAGGGCCTGGTGGGGAAGGCCATGGCAGTGTCCCCTTGTCCGAGTGGGCAAGAGGTCAGAAGTGACAGACTGGGCATCAATTGCCCCCAAATTCCAGAACCTGGCTCCTTGGGATGAGGTGTTGGGAACTGGCCAGGAGGATGGAAGGAAGAGGGAGACATCTGCAGCCAGCATTACCCTGACATACAACCCTTGCCCTTCACCCCGATTGGGAGGGGCCCTGAGACCCATTGGTCTGAGCCAGTAACAGGAGGGAATCTTAGGCCCAGTTCACAAGGGTCTTGCATCTGCTCTCCATGCCCTCAGGAGTACCCCAGCACCCAGCCCTGGGGGTGCAGGTCACCCTACCTCCCTCTCCTGGGGAGTGCTCAGTTGCCTGTGGCACGAGGGTAACGAAAGGCCTGAGCCCCACTCAGCCAGCACCCCTGAAGGAATGTCACAGGGCCCCTAGTCACATACAGTAATACTGTGAGACCCCCAGGAGGTGGGAGCCCAGGGACCAAAAAGAATGGGGACAGAAACAGACCCAGCTGCACACTTACTCCAGGTGAGCCTCCAGAGTGGGTGAGGCACTAAGTCCTCCCCCAGCTCTGCAGGCCACATGAGGCGGGCTCAGGCAGCCACAGACCCCTCACCTGGAATGCCACCTGCAGGAATGATGGGCCAGGACCAGGGTGCCCAGTACCATTGACCTTGAGGACCCCAAACCCAAGCTTTGACCACAGCTTCATCAGAACCCAGGGGCTGCTTTGTCAATCCCCTAAAGCTTCCAGAAGCTCATATGGGGTTGGGGGTGCCTCCTGTGGAAAAGCAGAAAGTTGAGTCCAGTGGAGGGGGCACTGGAGGGATGTTTGGTTATGAACCAGTTTAGGGGCCCCATGGCTCCTTAGGGAAAGTCACTCATGGGGGGTGACGGACAAGGTCCCCCGAACTGAACATCTGGCCCCAGCAGAATGCATGAATGGACATGGGGCCCCTTGCCCTCCACACAGCGCCTCATTTGACAGAGCTGACCTCACCCACTCCACTGTGACACGTGGGCCTCACAGCAGACCATCCCACTGGATGTCCTTCCAGGAGTTTGGCCAATGAAAATCAGGTCAAACACACTAACCACTCAGAACCCTCCTTTACCCTGAAAACCCATGAGCAGATAATAGCACAGAGGGCCCAAAAGGCCAGGCCACGCAAGGGGGTGGGGAGGCATCCCTGGGGAAAGGTCAAGAAGCACACAGCCCTGCCCTCGATAGTTGGTCCCAGAGACCCCTGTGGGGTGCTGGACCCACTTTAATTAGGGCCCCTTCTACTGTGGCTTGTCCCCACTGGGGAGCCTGGCCAACTTTTGAATACCATTGGCTGTGAGTCCCCAAATTTTGCTGAGGGGTTGACCTGCCCCCTGAGCTCTCCACTGAGGGTCTCAAGCACCTCTGCCCCAAGAGACTGGCACTCACCCTTCCTGCCCAGAAGTGTCAAGGGGAGGGGGCTGCAGGACACTCCAAACAGTGCTACCTGTCTTCCCCCTGTAAGGGCATGGAGGGGGGAGGCCAGCATGGGCACCTGTGATGGGGGATGTGATCCCGACACCCTGTCTTCTCCTCCAGTCAGTCCTGGGTACAACCCTCTTCTCTGGAGAATATAGAAAGTCGCTAATCCCAGGATCCATCTCAGCCCATGAGCTACGGAGAGGAACAAACTCATTGCCCTGGGGACTTGGAGGGAAGAGGGTAAACTGAGGCAGATGCGGATAGGCCAGGCAGTTTGAGCTCCCAGAGGAAAGGTTTGCACAGCTGAGGGGGCTCAGCTAAAGCCAGGAGCACTAGGAAGAGGGCAGCAGGGGGACCTGGATGGCCTTTGAGCCCATGTGGGCTCAGTGTCCAGGCTTGAAGTCCAGTCTTGCCCCGCGCTTGTGAGTAGGACATGGGCGGTAGGTCTACATACAGAATATAGGCACAGGCCCGCCCTTCCTGGTGCAGCTTACCTAAAATCACAGTATTTTCACATCACAAGTCAAAAGACTGATTCCCTTAGGCTGTCTTGCCTCAGAAAGTCTTGGCAACTCAAGAATATTTAGTAGAGAAGTGATATTTAAGAAAAAAAACAAATTCCCTGTTGCAGACCCCAGGAGGCCTCCCAAGGCCCAGGAAGACGTGGAGATGCCTGACCACTGGCTCCTGGTGGGGCCCCCTCCGAGGATAGCTCTGCACCTACACCTCTCATAGGCAGAGGATGCATGTTAATACAATGTTACCTGTGCTCCAGGCCATGGGCCTCTCCTGTCTGTCTGCACCTAGAACGGGTGCTGGACAGATGGGAAGCGTGGGCTGACAAGGCTCCCTCACTGGATCCCAAAGCCTTGTTTGAAAATTGCATCCAGGAAGGTTGCTTGTAATTATATTAAGGCCATTTTTTAAAAAGTTCTACATACAAGTCTAATGGTAACCAAACTCTTCTATGTACATGTAGATGTTCTTTTTTTTTTTTTAAAAAAAAGTCCCCATCTCTGTCCCCAGTCCCTGCCACAGTAAAAGGATAGGCCCTGGACCTGGACAGACTGACACTGTGCTCCTCCAGCCCAGACAATGGTGGCGGGGCCAAGGGACTGAGGGAGACCTTCTCACAAGTGTGGCTGCCCGGCTGCTTGGATACCTGCTAACAGCCTGGCCAAGAAGCAAAAAGGAAGGACGGCTGCTGGGATCAAATCCAGCTCCCGTTGAAAGGGCTCCCACAGCCCAGGCAGAAGGGTGGCCACTAACACCACAAAGAAATAACGCCAGGCAGAAGTGTCAGCTCAACAGCATGTGGAGGAGCAAGTTGAGATGCAACTTGGGGACTGAAACAGAGATTCCTAGTAAAGCTGCCAACAGAAAACAGAGCCAGCCTGCCACCCCCTCGAAGGGCCTGGAGGGCAGAGGGATGGTCACCTCTGCCTATCAAGGCACTTTGAGAAGCAAGCACCTAGAAGCTCGCTGCTCATTGCCTCCAAACCCAGTCCTACCAGGAGGAGCAACAACAGAAGTGGCCAGCGGGATGAATGTCAGCTGGTTCTCAGGATGGGGAGAGACAACTTCATCCGGGGTGTCTGGGAACAGACGGACCACAGCTGCTGCCAGCCTCAGGGTGTGGGACACACCAGCCTGAGGACTGGCGGGCACCGCTAGGGCCAGGCAGAGCCAGGTCTTCTCCAGACCCTTAATAAAAGCAGTGGCTCCTTCTCAGAAGTCTGCTACGTAGCCAGAGAAAAGGCACCTCCAGTCACCCAAGCTTCTGTCAGCATCCTCGCCTGGCACAACCTGCCCTCACTGGGCTGGGCAGCCACTCAACCCTTCTGTTCTGAGATACCTTGAGGTGAAACTAATGAGGCTAGGGTCCCAGCTCAGATGGCAGACTGCTTCCAGTTAGCTTTAAAACATGTGTAATGGAGTATTTCAGGAATAAAAAGATGCTCTCAGGCAAGTATTGGCTTGAAGGAGTCAGCTACTTATCTACAGCCAAAGTGGAAATATAGACCAAAAGAAACAACAACAAAATACAACAAAATGCCCTGGCCACCCCCTTCCCACACGTCTGTAAATAACAGTAACAGTGACCACAGAACAGAGCAGGAAAGATGAAAACAAGTTCTAAACCCACCCCCAGAAATAACCCGACTCCACATTCGCTCTCTAGCAGGTCCTGTCATCCTGGCCAGCGGCAGAGGGACCTGGTGCGGGGTAGGTGAGGCAGGAGGCTGGGAAGATCTAGCTGCTCTGTTTACATCTTTGTATCCACACCCATGGGAAGGGTTCTAGCATTCTGTTTGCTCAGGAATAGAAAAGACAGCAATCAAAATAGTGTTTATTTTGCACTGGGTCTGTCCCACTCTCTGGCGTTCTCTCCCTTTTGTCGGGTGGGGATGGCTCTCTACCTAACCACAACCTGGGGGTGGCAGGTACGGGGTGGAGGGTAGGAACCAGGGATGAAGGAAGGCAGTGAGAGCTGGACAACAGTCGGAAATGCACATTGCCCACCACAGTGAGGAGCAGGCCCCGGTGCCCCCAGGCCTGTGGCCCCGCCCAACATGCTTTCTGCATCTTACAGGGACTGATGGCTCATGGCCTGCGGTGGGAGGGGAACAGCCTCCCAGGGGAGGTGAACAGCCGAGGGAGGGCGGGGGCGGGAGTGCTTGGCGGTATTGCAAGCTCAGAATCACAAGCTCGGCCGTTTGCAGGGACAGAGTGTGCAGTCCCTGGGCTCAGGGAGACTCCGTTGGGACCACTGACCGGCGGGGTGACGGAGCCGGGGCTGGGCAGCAGAGTGCTGGGTGTGCACTCACAGACGGTCCATCCGGAAGGTGTCCTCGGTGGCCGGGTCGGCCAGGACCATGTCAGGGTCATTGAGCATGTGCAGTCCATCCAGGGTCAGGGGGTCAATCTTGAGTTCATCCAGAGGGAACTGGCTGTCAGAATCGAAGCTGACATCGCCAACCCCAACCAGCGTGCTGGTCAGTTCTTTAGAGAGGCTGGGAGGGGACTCTCCTGTCACTGGATTAGGGGGACACAAAAGTCAGCTCGGTCTTGGTTCCCTACCCCCACATTCAGGGAAGAGGGCTTGGGCCACCCCAGGGAACATTTCTAGCTGCCAGGACTAGGGAAGGGGGTGCTACTAACATCATGTGGAGACCAGGGACACTGCTCAACACCACAGTGCACAGGCTGGCCCTACCTAGAGAAAGATCCAGCCCCAGACATCAGCAGGTAGCCTCCTCCTGGGTCAGAGAAGCAGGCTGGGCATGCACATCGAGGGCCCTCCCTGTGGCATGGAGGAAGTCTTGTTCCTCTAGAGACCCTGGTTCAAACCTGGAATCCCTCCTCTACTTGTGCGGAGTCCCCAAGCCTGTTTGCCCATCTAGAAACCAGTATAAAAGTTTCCATCTTGCCCAGCCAGAGTTGCTCAGTGGTTGAGTGTCAACCTGTGAACTAGGAAGTCGCGGTTCAATTCCTGGGCGAGGCTCATGCCTGGGCTGTGGGCTTGATCCCCGGTGGGTGGCATGCAGGAGGCAGCCAATTGATGGTTCTCTCTCATCATTAATGTTCTATCTCTCTCTCCCTCTCTGAAGTCAATAAACACACACATAAATATATGTATATATGTTTAAAAGTATCCATCTTTCTGGACTGTCAGGGTCATCATGGGGCCTGGTCCTCCCCAGGTACCTAAGGCACCGTCAGGGTAGGGAGGAAGTACTGGGTCTATACTTGGGGTCCCAGCTTTGGGGGGACTCTGGGCATAGACCCATCCATCCTGGAGATTTGAGTGGGGCCCACCAGGGGTGGGGGTGTCCACCTCAATCCCACACAGCCCTGGCTTATAAGGAAACTACTTCTTTCTTCAATAAAACCAAGAGCCTTCGGTGGAGGGAAGGAGGGGTGATGGGGTGGAGAGGGCATCACAGGTCTGGGCTCTGCTACACGGAGCAGGACTTCCTCACACACACACCTGGGCACTATACTCAGGCCGTGTGAGACACATACGGCAGCGTGTCCAAGCTGTTACACTCCTGTTGACTGCACAGGAAGCACCCCTCCTGCCATGCAGGGCTCACCCCCTGCCATGGTCACTTATATTCCCCACACACCCAGCGAACAGTGCTCAGGTGCCTGGGTGGCAGGCACAGGGCTGGGAGAGTGACTTGTTCTGAGCACAAGGTGCTGTATGCCCGGTGTGGGGTCCAGGTGTATGTCCCCCTTGCCTGGCTGAAGCCCAGCAGCGATTCGAGGTTAGGAACAGGGGTCTGGTCTCTCTGGGTCCACACCAAAGGCAGGGACACCTCAGTTGTGTCATGACTCACCCTACAGGGCAGGGAGTTCCATCTCCCCCAGGGCTGAGACCTATGACAGGGACACCAGGACTGAGACCCCTGCCTAGGACACCTCAGACAGGACCTCACCTGTGAGAATGATGTTGGGGATACTGCTGTGGCTGGGATAGCCAAGCTGCTGTGTGTCTTGCAGGCTCCCATGGCTGCCCGTCAGACCCATCATGGCCGCCTGCGAGTAGTTGAGTGTAGAACCCGGGCTGTACAGACTGCTGGAGCTGATGGCCGTCTCCAACATGTTGAATTGCTCCAGCTGGAGGGGACACAGGGTGTGAGGCTGGCCACTGAGCACTGCTGCTGTGGGAAGGGCTGCCTGAGACTTCCGGACCACCTCTTCGGCAGGATGCCTAGAGCTGTGCTCAGGTCCACCCTCGTGAGGGCTGGTCACACGAGTCTCTCTGCCCTCGGGTATTGCCATCTCCTAACCCACACGGGCCTGCCCACATACACACCCTCAGGGCTTGCAGGATGGATGGATGGATAAATGGATGGATGTTTGAGTGACCAGCTCCAGGTAGCGGCCAACCCCTCCTGTGCCCGCATGCCTGATTCTGGCCTCCACACAAAGCCAACTTGACCTCCCGCAAACTCACATGCACGGCCCATGCCAAGTGCCACTGTGACAGCCACTGCCCGTCCCTCCTGGCGCTCACTGACACGCCAGGTGCATCGCCAGGAGAGGCAAAGACAGCCACATGCGCCACTGCCTGGAGACGGGGGGGCTAGGAGCAAAGCTCACTCCCGAGGGCGGGCGGGGTCCGGGCAAGCATTTGCTGAGGGCGCTGTGGCCCGGGCACCCGCTCACCTGGTGGGACAGAGCATTGGCCTGCCTGGCCGCCATCTGCTGCTCATAGTACGAGTCCCCAAACACGCTGCCCAGGGTGGAAGAGTGCTGCAGATAGAAGAGAGGCTTTTTGTTGTCATGATCCCCATGACTAGGTTGGGGGGCGGGAGGCTCCTAAAGGCCAGTCGAGCCCACGGGGAGGCCCCTGAGACCTAGTGAAGGATGCACGAGACAAGGGAGGTGGATGACAGCTATTCCAGGGCGCCTACACTGAGCTGGCAACTCCCCTGTCTCAGGATGATGGCTTCTTTCTCCTGCCTGCTGGGGGTGGGATGGCTCTACACCCTGACATTTCCCAAGAACGCCACCCCCATCTCCTTTCCTTAAGCTCAGATGTAGGTGACCTCCTTTCTGTCAGACAGAAGATGAGGGAATGGGGGATATGAGGATCAGGAACCCTGACAAGTCCCAGAGGAAAGCATGTAACCGGTACCAAGGCACAAGATTCCCTAAATATTCAGAATGGGACGAGCACTTGGTGAGCTTTGTCAGGCCCCTGTCCACATATGTGGACAGGATGAGTGCAGAGCAAACACAGGACAGGCACTCAGAAAGCCCCCTCTCACCTGCTGAGTCCTGGCAGCCTGCCCTCGAGACCCCAGGGCTCACTGATAGCTGGGAGATGCTCCTGGGAGAGAAGCAGGGGGCTAGGACCTCAGAGGTGGTGAAGACACCAGGAAGAGCTTGGAGCCCCTGCCCATTCTGGAGATACTGCCAGGGATGGCCGGATGGAGCCTGGCAGGATGTGGGAGGGGGGAGAGGGATGGCTGCACCCGAAACACCAGGTCTGGACAGATATATTCCCAGCCCAGACCCGAAGTGTCTCTTCTGCAAGACAGGATGGCTCATGGAAGTTGCTGCACCATGGCCATTCCCAGGCGTCATCCTCTCAAATGTCTCCACAGATTAAAGGCCCTAGAGCCTTCCCCCTGAGTTCCCTGTTCTAGAAAGGTCCCCACATGCTTGACAATGGCCAAGGCTTGAGTCTCAGGCTTCCATTCCAGACAATGATTGGCCGCAAACCCACTGGCTGCTCCAGGTGGTCAGTGGGCTGAGAGCAGAAAGGGACAGATGACTACCCTGGTGGGCAGGGAGGCTCCTGGGGACGAATGCTCTATTCAAACACAAGAGTTAAAAATTACCAGCTTCAGGTTTAAAAAAGGGGCGGAAGATTTTGGCTGGTTTTGCCCATGAAGGAGGTGGCAGGTTTCTTCTGAGGCACCTGTTCCTGTCCCTGTGGCTGTGGCCCCAGAGGCCCAGCATGCACAGGGGACCTCTGGCCACAGTTTCTCTTGTGAGGAGGCCAAGAGAGTTTGCAGGAAGGTCTGCTCAGAAGTGAAGAGGGAGGCAGCACACAAGACACGATCTCAACTGCTTGAGGCTCAGTGCATCTGCTCAAGGCCAGGGAGGCACAGGCCTATGGGGCTGGTGAGTGTGTCCTGGAGGACTCAACCTACAGAAGGAAGTCAGCTATGCCCTCTGCCGAACACTTTGCCTCTAAACAAGCCCATTGCCCCTCTAAGCCAGTGTCTCTGGTTGGGGTCTGACAGCCTGATGGCCCCGTCCTCACACATGAATTAGCAGCCCGCATCCCTTGACAGATGGACCGACACACAGATGGTGGCTTGACATGACAGGAAAAGGCTCTGCCTGGGATGGATCACTTTGGTAGAGACAAATCTCTCCTGAAAGAAATCTACTTGACCCTCAAATTCCTGTCTTGCTTTGAATTAGAGGAATGCTACTCAGAGATTGGCCCCAGGGAGGGCTGCCCATCTGGGACAGGTCCCACCTGCTGCCTCCCCTGCCAGGTGCAGCTCCTCCAGCACGCTATATCCCACGGTACCACATGATGAGACCACCTTCTGGGAGCCATGAGAACTCAGAGCTGGGGTGCATGAACAGAAGAGCATGCGACATCAGGCCTAGCCCCGGCCTGTCCCAAGCTTGCTGCCACCCTCTCCGCCTGCCTACGGAGCAGGAGGCTACACACTGATGGTCCCAGCAGGATCCCTGGCAGCTGTGGGTGTGGAGGCAGCACCTGAGGGCCCCTCCTATAGCAGATGAAGCCTCAAGTCCTCCCTGAACGGGATGCCCACTGTCCCAACACAGGTCTGGGTTCAGGGTGCACGTCTGAGCTGGGGACAAGGGAGCCTGATGTCTTTCCTGCCCGTCTAGAGGGGCAGCTCTGCTCCTTGCTCTATGCAGAAAGGCGAATCCTCTCTCCCCTTGGCTGAGAATAAGGCTTGGGGCCTGGGGCACTGCAGGGGCTCCTAGGGGTTTCTCAACTTAGTGTTATTTTGGGGACTGAAGGGCAGAGTCCTGGAGAGGCTTCACTGCAAGTGAGATGTCTTGGGCCCAGATGTCAGCTTTTCAAGCACCCCTTCCTCTCTGATGGAACATTCCAGATGGAATATGGCTACAGCCAAACCAGGCTAAGGGGAACCCTGAGGAACCTGGACAGGGTGTGTGCACGTTAGGTATCAGGGGCCAACTGTGCCAGGTGTGGGAGGGTAACCTGAATCTGACAGGATTGGTCAAGTCCTGCCTGTTGCCTAAGGCCTAGAGTCAACCTGTCTCATCTGTGGAAGGGGAACAAGGACCTGACAGGCTATAGTACTGTTCAGAGAAGCTTTTTGGGGGACACACCTTCCTAGGAGGTAAAGGGGAGGAGAGGGGGCTGAGTAGTCAGCACCCCCACAACTGGCTGTCACCTCAGCTGTGCTTCAAAACAAGGGGGGCACCCCCCACTTTCAAAAGCCTCAAGACACCAGGCCTCAGGGTGGTCAGATGCAGATGAGGACATGTTAACAGGCTATTGGATGCCATGTTTGAGCTGCACTTGGGGCTGTCCCCAACCATGGACGAGGAGCTGGGGTGTGGCTGACACTGAGATCCTGTATGTGTCCTGACCAGGGATCAAACCCACAATCTTGGTGCATCAGGACAACACTAACCAGCTGAGCTACCTGGCCAGGGCCAGCACTGTGATCTTTAACAGGCCGAGGAGCCCACCACCTCCAGCTGGGGCTTTGCACAGACCAGAGGAGCAGCGGGAACGAGGGGCAGCGCCTTCTCCTCCCAACCATATGGAGCAGACGAGATGGGATGATGTGAGGCATGAGGCACAGATGGCAGGCGAGGGCACAGGTGGGCGAGGTGAGCTGGGGATAGAGTGGCGGCATCCCTTACTTGTGGGGAGCTCCCAGGGGAGAAGCCTTGATTGGAGACGGGTGAGGTGGGAGACTGGTTGGCTGGGGAGCCGGCACTAGTGCGGTACTGCTGCAGAGCCGGGGCCTGTGACGACAAACAGGTCAGGATGTGGAGGCCCCAGCCCGGCTCCCAGCTGAGCCTCCCACAAGCCCCCACCCCTCAGTGAGCAGAGGACCTGGGGCTAGAGTTCGGGGCCTCAGGGGTACCTGTCTCCAAACCCAACTCCTAGGTGTCGGGGGCTGGAGTCAGAGAACCTAGAACTGAGCGTCATGTAATTGTCCTGATGGGCTGTGGGGGAGTAAGGGTTGGGTCCACCTCGATTCAACATGCTTCAAAACAACCACACTACATACATGTGCGCACAGCTACACACATGCACACTCACACACACGAAGGCAGAGATGGCCTAGGACTGGGTGGGCAGGTGTTGCCTTTTGTTCCTGACTCTGATGGATCCCTGGCTCTCTCAGTTCCGAGTCTGTACTGGCATATCCTGCCCACCTCAAAATGTGGTACTGACAGCAGGGCTCCCAGCACTAAGAAGTCACCATCACTGGCGTGGCTTAGCACAAACCTGATGGGGTCATGCTCTCCAGAGACCTCAGAGGGTTGGCTACCTCCCTGTTCAAAGGCAGAGGACCCTGGCTTCTTACCAGGCCCTGGTTTCTCACCACAGATGAGACAGGCTGGGCCAGGATCTGGATTTAAACTCTGCCTGACCTCTCTGAGCCTGCTGTTCATGGAGGCCCAAGGCCCTATGAGTGCTCAGTCTCCCCATTTCCTCAGTGACCTACTCTGAGCAGTGTTTGATGGGGGTTGAGCCTGGGTGGGGCATGGGAGCTCAATTAATAGGGTGTGGGTGGCACCAGTGTGTCACTTGGTGAAGACCAGGAAAATGTCCAGAGAGATGCTCTTGCCTGGGAGAGTCTGCAGAAACTCTGCAGGAGACTGCCTGTGCCCCAAGGGAGCCAGCTGTCCCCGGGGGTCCCAGGAGATAGACTCTGACCTGGGAGCCTGGGGAGGCACTGTGTGTGCACCTGGTTTGAATACCCGTGCTCACAATGTCCACCCAGCTCCATAGCCAGGCCCCACTGCAGGAGGGTGTTGGGGAGCTGGGTGCCCAGGTTGGCTCCAGCATCAGAGCTGCCCCCACACTTGCTGTGTTAATGCTAAAGGAAAGGCTTCGGTACTTTTCTGCGGGGGGCGGGGGGAGCGTCTGCCTGCTGAGGGGTTGGAGCAGCTTGGAAATGTGGGTCTCTACTGTTAGGTCACTGCCTGACCACCAGCTTAGGGAGGTGGCTGTTCTTTGCAGAGCACATGATGTTCTGAGAGCGAGCTTTATCCCAGGGCTGTTAACTGAAGGCTGAATGGGGAGGGCTCACTGTGCCCCAAACATGGGTCTCTGTTCCTTTGGATGTGGCCAAAGGTAGCAATGACCACCTTCTTCCCACCAGAGTAATCAGGGTCAAAGTCTGAACAATCAGGAAGCTTTGGGTTTGCAGAGGAAAAAACCTAGCTCAGCCCTGGTAGGGCATCCAATGGTCTGAGCTGCAGTCCCTGGCTGGGCAGAGGGTCCCATGGTTTGAGCCGAAGCTCCCCTACACCAGCCCAGGAAGTGGGTCCCATGCTCCCATCGTATAACTGAGCTTCAGCCCTGGTCCAGGCAGGGGGGTCCCAGGGTCTGAGCTAAAGCCCCCGGCTCAGACACTGTGCTGCATCCTTTCCTCCCCTCCAAGTTCACCTCTGACCCTCTGGCTTGCAGATGCCTGTGCCTTAGGCCCTGAGAGCTGTGCTCTCCTTACCTCCAGGGAAGCCCTGTTTTGAATGGGAAGGGCAGGGGCAGGTATCAAGGGCCATGGGGGATGGCTTGGCAGCCAGACATGGGTAGCCCATATCAGGTAAGGTTTGGGGCACTGACACGTGCTTGTGCCTCGGTTTCCCCATGTGTACATGGGGTGACATACTCAGCAGAAACTCCACTGGGTACTGAGTCCCGGCAGCGTCTGCTTCAGCCCCAAACCCTGGCAAGTTGGCCTCCAAGTGGAACCTTGAGGTGCTGCAGACAAAACTGGGCACCCAACTCTTTTCGGGCCCTGGGCACCCAACAGAGCCTCCCACAGCCCCAGGTTCCTCCTGCATGACCCCACAGCCAGACCCCGAGGCCAGGCCTCGACGACCATGTCCTGGGCTTACCGAGGCGATGTCGATTCCCATCGGTGGCTGGCCTGGGTTGTCTGGGGGGGACTGGGGGAGAGAGGACGGTACTGTGACCAGGAGCGGGGGCAGCTGGGGTCCCTGCGTCAGGCTGGTGCTCGGCATCAGGGGGCTGCCTGGGGGGAGGTTGATGGGCACCTGCGGAGGTGGTGGGGATGGTTGCTGCTGGGATACTGGTGGCGGGGGGGGCGGGGGCGGGGGCTGCGGTGGAGTTGATTGCTGGGAGCCTGCCTGGGTGAAGAAGGCGTAGGGCAGCTGTTGTTCCAGAGATAGGGCATCCATGGCCACGGCCTGTGGGAAGAGAAGGGCTTCAGATTCAGGTGTCAGCATTGGGGGCCGGCCACAAGCACCTGGTCCCCCAAGGGGCCCTCATGGCCTGGCAAGCTCAGCAATGAGGTGATAGAGATGAACAAAGAGACATCACACCCTGGACCGAAGGCACAGGCCTAAATAGGGCCTCACCCAGGGCTATGGAGGGTCAGCTGGACCTGGGCATCTAATCCAGCTGGCTGCACCCTACACCCCACCAGCCTTTCTTTTATCCTCATTGCACACCAAGAGGCAGGCATGACCTTCTGTATTCACACAGGCTCAGGAAACCCATGGCTCTCTGAACTGAAGTTTCCCCACTGCAGGCAGGCACCAGGTATCACACTACGGTAACCTAGAGGGTGGCCAGCGCCTATTCCCCTCAGAGAGCGGAAGGGGCTGCTCATCACCATCCTGCAGCCTGGCCCTCCTGGGGAGGTTAGCAAGGGTGCGAGTGATGAAGGCACTGACGTAGCCACTAGGTGATAACCAGTTCAAGCCTTCTCAGAGTTTGAAAGAGGAAAATAAGCAGAGGAAGTTTTCAAAAGTCATGAGTCTGTGCAGAGTCCCTGGGATATGCAGGAATCCTGCCCTGTGATGGAGGCAGTACATGCCCGGGAGCTTAGCAGATGCCTAATCTCTAATAAGTACTTTCCAGAAAGGGAAAGCAAGCCTGAGAGACTGGGGTGGAGAAAAGGGGCAGGGGTCACAGATGGAGAGAGTGATGACACAGCTGCCAGAAAAACCACCATGGCTCTTCTGGATCCTGATCTGAACAAGACCACTGTACAAGCAGACACGGAGGGGAACCATGCCCAGAACAGGCATTGAAATGTGTGAATGACTTCATTTTGTTATAAGTGAATTATGCCATCAAGGTTATATTAAAAAAACAAAGAACAAAAATGTTATCTGCCAGGGATTTTTAAAAAATAGTCAAGTCCTGACTGGTGTGGTTCAGTTGGTTGAGCGAGGGGTCACTGGTTCAGTTCCCGGTTGGGGCACATGCACAGGTTACAGGCTTGATCCCCAGTGAGGGTGCTTTTGGGGGCAGCCAATTGATATTTCTTTCTCACATTGATGTTTCTTTCTCTCTCCCTCCCTAAAAATAAATGAAAACGTATTTTTTAAAAAATTAATAAAATGGACAAATTCCTGGAAACACACAAATTACCAAAATTGACCCAAGAAGAAATAGAAAATCTGGGTAGACCTATATCAAGTAAGGAGGTTGAATCAATAAAAACAAACCTCCCAGTGAAGATAAAAGCTCAGACCTTAGGTGGCTTCGCTCATGAATTTTACCAAACATTTAAAGAATTAACACCAATGCTTCTCAAACTCTTCAAAAACAAACAAAAAAACAGAAGAGGAGAGAACACTTCCTAACTCATTCTATGAGCCTCAAGTGACTAAGTAAACAAGAGAAGAATTAAATTACTAAAATCAGAAATGGAAGTGGGAATATTACCACCAACTTAACAGAAATAAAAGGATTATGAGAGAGTACTATTACTATGAACAATCATACACCAGCTTGCTGCGTGATCTAGATGAAACAGATTAATTTCTATATACACACCATTACCAAAAAATCAAAATTACAGTAAACTGGGGGAGAGAGGGAGACCTCTCTAGAATTTATTTTGGAAAATTTCAACTAGATCCTAAAAAAGAGAAAGTACCATAATTGAAATATGCCCCATTCACACAGCAATTGCTAACATAGGACCTGCCCATGATGGCACAGGGGACTCCAGGTCACTGATTAACGCATTTCCCATGTGTTTAAAAAATTGACAAAAAGCCAAAAATGCTGGACTGTTTCTAAGGTCTCCCTGGAAGGAGTAGGTCTCCCAGAGAGACAGAACTGGGCCGTCCCCCACGCCATTGCCCCCTCGAACCTGAGTGATGGGTGACAGCGGGGAGAGGGTGGGTGACACCTGCTGTGCCTGCTGCTGCCGTCGTGTCTCCGAACTCAGGGATAGTGGGCTGACATTGGCCGGACGGTGCTGCGGTGAAGAGACTGGAGTGTTCATGCCTGGAAGGAAGGAAGGGTTGGCATGACTCTAGCCTCCAAAGGACCACTCATACACCCATGGTCACTGTTGGGGACAGCTAAATTGCTCAGACAGAAGCCAGTGGGCATGCCCTGTTGCCAGACCAGGGTACCCCCTCCAAGATCCTGATACCCTGATCTTGGGGACCCCAGCTCTGTGTGGTCTCTATTCTCCTCCCGAAATCCCATGATGACCAACACTCTCCATACTGATCCTGCCATCCCTCCAGGAGGGGTGTCCTGAAGGTCCTGCTGGGCAGCACTTTCCTGCTTCTGGACTGCCACATGATTGGTCCCTAGATGGACATGTGACCAGGCTGACCCAATGAGAGACTGACCTAGGACTTCTGATGGAACTCCAAGAGAGGCTGGAGGTATAGAGAGAGTGTGTGTGTGTGTGTGGCATTCTGTGGCTGGAAGGGGAAGGATCAGCTGGAGAATGAGGTGGGAGAGGCAGCACCTGAGCCCCGGATGCAGCTACACTGGCACTTCCCCTCTTTGGGAAACAATCAATCTACTTTTTTTTCCCTAAACTGGCTTGGATTTTGGTTAGCTTCAAACAAGTCAGTCCTGCCCAACACTGGTGTTTCCTCTTGATCTTCATGCCCTCCTCACCCTCATTTGACGCACATGTTCTTTCTCATAACTGCTCCTCTGGCCAGATCTCCTCTCAGCCCTGGATTTGTATAACTGGCATCTCCTCCATCCCCCCATCTCACTTCCACCTCCCCCGCCCCAACCCCTAGTGTATTTTTCATGCTGGACCATCAGCTCCACTGGCTAGAAACTCGGTTACTCTTTATCTTCTTCCAAAACCCACATTCCTGATGGAGCTCCTGCCAGAGACTCCACATCCTCCTCTCCCCTTGGCCCCCTCCCCCAGCAATCCAATGCCTGGATACAACTGTTGTGAAGGACCTGAGTGAGGTCAAATTCAGTGTGGCAGCATTTGGGGCTTATGCTATCCCAGGCACTGTGCCAGACAGCCAACAGGCCCGCTGATGCAATGAGGAGCCCTAAGGGCCTGGCCTGACCACCCAGACTCTGTTTCCATGTCCTCAAGATGGAGATGATATCAGCTGCCCTTGCCAGTTAACTGTGAGGCTTTAATGAACTGTGAGTCAAGGCCAGTGAAGGTGTTTAACTCATCCATGGGAGCCAGGCCCACCCTGCGAAGGGCACCAGATCAACCTTGTTCCAGCAGGTAAGATGACAGGTTCACGGGCCAGTTAGAATGCACCCAGTGTGCACTGAGGGAGATGATGGGCAGTTGCTTACTGTGTCATCCATGTGAGGAGAGCCAGGTCACACCTGCGCTTCCCCTTGGATGCCCTGGTGGCTCCTCTTGGCCAAGCAATGCAGGGCACCTGGTGCCATTGATTGCTCCTGAGTCAGGGCCTGGGGATCCAATTTCTGCACAGAACTTGGGACCCAGAAATCAGGCTGCTATGGACACAGACATCAAGGGAGGCAGGGTAAGAGGCCTTGGCAGGAGTCCAGGAGACACCGGCTCAGAGCACAGTTGGAATGGGTACCCTGGGCAGTTGCCTTATCTCTCTGAGTGTCCATCACTTCATAGGTCCAGCAGGCTGAGGAACATGTGACATCCAGAGAGAGCAGATGTCAGTGTTCAGTAAGCAGCAGAGTCAAATGCCAGGAGTGAGAGGAGCAGTGGGGTGACAGTGGCAGGTGGGCCTGTGGTAAACTGGAACTCTCTGGCCCATCTTGGGGCATAGGATCTTGACCCACTGCTGCTAGGTCCTCTGATTCAAAAGAAGCCAGAAATCCAGGTTTTTACACTCACTCTCCAGATGTTTAAGTATCTATTCAAAGCACCACACACACACACAGTCGTAGGATAGACAAAATACACCATTGGGCTGGATTTGGCACTTGGGCTGCCAGCCTCTAACATCTGCCCTGAATACAAAGGTGGTTTTGAATCCTCTGCTGGACCACAGTGAGCTCCTGGCCTCCCATGGGGGCCCGGAGGGTGAACGAATGCCTTACTGTTGAATTCCTTTTGGCAACCTGGGTCACCTTTGGGAAAAGGAGTGGGGCCAGTTGGAAGGGAAGTCTGGGCAGGCAGGGAGAGCTGCCAGGAGAGGACGAGCCAGGTAACAGGGGCTCAGCCCAAGACACATAAGCCCCGAATGCAGGAGCAGCCAGGCACAGAGCAGTGCCAAGAAGGAGGAACCAGGCCTATTGTCCTCCTGGGTCCCAGCGGACAGCCAGGGAACCGACTTTAGCAAATGTGGAAGGGGACGAAAGGGGCCATTGTCTCCCTCTCTGATGGGAAGGCCTCTTCCTTTTCTTGGGTTCATGATCTGACTGTGGGTGAGCTGGGGCGGGGGCGGGGGGCAGTCTCCATGTGTGCCAGAGGCTAAGGCTCAGCTTGATTTAAAACGCACTCAGAAAGTGAAGCCCCTGTCAGGCGAGCCCCTGGAGTGGCAGGTTTGAAAACAATCCAACACACGTCAGACATCACTGGCAGATACTAGAACCAGGTGGCGAGGGTCCGATCCCCGTCCCCGGAAGCCCCTCCCATATGCAGCCCGACTCCGGGTCTGCAGCTTTCACATGTGCTTGTTTTCCTGTGCTTGTTTAGACTCTGCTCAGAAGTGCACAGCTCCTGGTGGGCGCTGGGGGGCTGCCAAGGACTCTCGGGTGGAGGGGGGTGATCCTCTGGAGGCCACAGTCAAAAGTGGGGGAAAATGGAATTTGCATGTTATCCTTTTATTATATAGGATATGCGTTGCCCATGAACACAGACCATAGGGTGGTGAAGGCCTGGGGCGAGGTGGAAACCGGGTGGTGGGGGTCAAGGGGAAAAAAGGGAGGACATCTGTAATACTCTCAACAATAAAAATTTAAATAAAAAAAAAGTGGGGAAAAATGGGGCCAGGAAATGGTAGTGTCAGCATCAGCCAGGGAAAGTGGGGGGCAGTAGTCCCAGAACCAACCTTCCACTCTCTTCCTCTGCACATGCACAGGCCAATGCTTACGCAGCTGCCCACTGGTCTCTAGGGGCCATGGGTCTTGGGCTTCCCTGAATCTACTCATTTGTCTTTGGGCCTTCGGGGGATGGGGGGTAGGCAGGGGGGCATGGTTGGGATGGTACCCTTTGCTCTGTGGCTAAGCCTGGGTGGGCATAGGGCCAGGGGCAATCTCAACATCCTCAGTCCAGAGTCTCACTCCTCCCTTCATTGTCTGGCTTCCATCCCCTTATCTAAAAACCTAGGGACATGGTACTGTCTCCAACACACCTCACATTCGCAGGCCCCATGGGCACCAGAGGTAGGACTGACTCTCCACCACTCCTCACATCAACCCAGCTCCCAAGCCAGCCCATTTCTCCCAGAAATCTCTCTTCAGAGTGTCTGCTGGGGCCCTGCCTTGGTCTAGGTGCGGCCTCCCCTCTGACAGCCTGTTCTCCCCAGGCAGTCAGAGCGCTTGCAAGTGAACGTGACTCAGCGTGTGATTATCGTAGAAAGGGCTGCACAGTGCTGCCCACCACACTCAGGGTGATGACATGTGGATGCGGCTGCTCGGTGGTCCCTGTGCAGGAAGAAGGGAAGATGATGTAGTGCTCTCACTGACCACCAAGTCCTGATACCTTTGGGCTCACAGAGGGGCCCCCTTGAGCCCTCCTGCTCGCTGGGGCTGCTGGGAGCACCCTATCTCCTCTCTGAATGCAAGCCCAGTCAACTAGTGCAGGGGTCACAGTGGGGTTGCAGGGGAGTGAGGCTTAGCCCAGGGGACAGGTGAGAACAAAGTACTCAGGGTGAGTACAGAAAAGCAAAAAAGCAACGCTGTGTAAGCCAGGTGGAGGGTGTGAGCAGAGGCCAGGAGGCCCCACTACGGGAAGGTGGTGTGAGCAGAGATGGGGCAGGTGAGGGGTCCTTGCCGCCTAGAGGAAGAGGAGGACCATGGGGGAGGAACAGCATGTACAGAGGCCCCGAGGTGAGCTCATTAGCTGGAGAGGAGAGGTGTGGGAGGTGAGGGGCTATCCAAGGACCGGAGCAGAGTAGGGCCATGAGCTGACAGCTGTTCTGGGTGGAGAAGAGGCTGGGACTGTGAAGGGGTATGGCAGCAGGTGGAGGCTGTACAGGATGAGGAGGATCTGAGTTAGGCTGGGTCCTGATGGTGGGGCTAATAGACATGTCAGTTGGTCAGAGTGGGCAAGAGGACCAAGGGATTGAGGAGTACAGCTCCAGGTTCCTGGTCTGTTCCTGAGATAGTGCCATAGGCCCCTAGCAGGAACAGGGTTGGGGTGGTGCCAAGAGATATTGGGATGGGCAAGGGCACCAAGGGTCGCCCCTGAAGACATAGCCAGGGAGAAATGAGTGTGGAGCCTGGGGAGGGGGTCAGGCTGGAGTGTCCCAAGAAGGCAGCCATAGTCAGCTATGGGGTGGGAAGAAAGGGAAAGTCTGGTGGATCACACTCTCTAAAGCTCCCAGCACCCCTCAGAACCACTGTCCCATCCCTAAAGACAACATGAGCCTTCCCAATGCGGGGCCTTTGCCCAGACTGTACCCTCTGTCCTAACACCACTCGCCTTGGGATAGCCTAGTCACACCAAGCCTCCATGTCGGGCTGTTCCCACTTTATCCCAGCATTTTGGAAGTGACCCTGCTCAGTCATATTTCTCTCTCTCTCTCTCTCTCTCTCTCTCTCTCTCTCTCTCTCACACACACACACACACACACACACACACACACACACACACACACGTGCGGTCCTTGCTAGCAGGTGAACTTTGCTGGGGAAGGAAGTGTCCTCACCCTCCCGGCCTTACCCTGGCCAGTGCTGCCGATGCCCAAATGCGTTAAGTTGGCAGTGAGGTTGCCGGTGCTGCTGGAACTGCTGAGCGCTGGGAAGGTGGGCTCCTCGGGGTCCAGCGGGGTTGGAAGCGGGGAGGGGAAGTGGATGTTGGTCAGGTCAGGCAGGGAACCCCCGGTGTTGTGGGTGGTAGGAATCAGGGCTGTAGTGTTTTCCTGGTCAGCAGATGGAAAGATGCTGGGAAAAGGCCAGACACAGGGGAGTTGACCTCTTGGACTGTGGCTGCTGGTTCTCCCCCAGAAGCTGTGGTGGCAGTGGTGGGGGTGGGGGGCTTGCAGAAAAACACACTAACTGGTGCAAAAGGACATCCTGCCATCAGATGCTGTCATGCTCGAGAAACAACCACCAGCCCAAACCTCCAATGGGAAGCAGCTTATCCCTGAGGGCAGGGAGAGGGGATGGGATGAGGGTCCTCCTGCCATCTGGGGACAGTGTGTCTAGGACAGTGGTTCTCAACCTGTGGGTCGCGACCCCTTTGGCGGTCGAACGACCCTTTCACAGGGGTCGCCTAAGACCATCCTGCATATCAGATACTTACATGACGATTCATAACAGTAGCAACATTAGTTATGAAGTAGCAACGAAAATAATTTTATGGTTGGGTCACAACATGAGGAACTGTATTTAAAGGGCCAGAAGGTTGAGAACCGCTGGGACTCTAAGGAGTAGAAGCATCCCCAGGGCAAGCCTTGCTGGGTGGCCACCAGCAGCTCAGCATCCCTCTTGTCTGGGTTGTAGCCTCTCGTGAACAGGTGGAAATCGGGGTGGGGTTGCCGTCTGAGCAGCCCCTGGTGGCCATAGGCATGCAGGGCAGGTCCCACTGGGACTTACTTGATTCCGGGGACCTCGCAGGACTTGGGCCTGGACCCTGTCTGAAAGAGAAGACAGCAAAGGCTCAGCAGCCTCCTCATAGCATGCTGATCTCCCCAAGAGAGCTGAGTGATGCTCAAGGAGAAGCAAGCTATGGGTCCCAGGGAGTCCCTACAGATGATGAGCGTCCCTAAGGAACTGTGTGTTGGGGGGAGGAGGGGTGCCCCAGATATGCCCAGGGGCTAAACCAAGAGTTAAGTGGAGAGGATCTCCCTATGGTCCCTCGCAGCTTCACGGTGCCTGCCTGGTAAGGTAGCACAGTCCAGGGGAGATGTGGTGCCTTGTCAGAGCTGGTGTCCCGGGGGGATCGTGTTGCCTGCTCTTTACATCTCAGCCCTCAGGCTGTGCCACAGCTGTTGGCCACCAGCTCTGTAGAGGTCCATTGGAAACCTGGGTGGCGGAGGCTAACCCCTCATACATTCCTGGATCAGGGTGGGAAGGAGAGGGAGTCAATAGGGCAGAGACTGCCTCTGCTCAGCATCTGTCCACCCCCAGAAAGAACATCATGTGGGGAAGCCTGAGGCAGCTTGGACTGGCTGCCCTGAGACAAAGAGGCTGCCACTGTGGCACTAGCGGGCCAGCTTTCCTGTGGTGCCTAGAGGTGTGACTCCCGTGGGGACCCCAGCATACCACCATTTGAGGACCAAAACTCTGGCCACCCTGCAGGCTAGCCCAGGAGAAGGGGTCCTAGGGAAACCCTATGGGCAGTAAGACCTCTGTGAGCTAGAGCAGCGGTTGCCAACCGGTGGTCCCCAGACCACTGGTGGTCTGTGAGGTCTGAAAGGTTGGGGGTCGCTGAGCTAGAGACACTATTGCCACCGGAGATCTGCAGGCTCCAGGCCAGGCCCCTAGATTCTCATTCAAGGACAAAGCAAGGAACTCTCTTCCTCAGGCCGCAGACATGACAGGACAAAGCCTGTGTGCTAACAGGCCTCCACTGTGTCACGTTCCCTAATTCCTGTCTGCCTCTGGGGCCCTCAGGTAGACACTCCTGTTGATGTGTTCTTTAGGGATTACCAGACAAGAATGTGGGCCCACGGGGGAGGGCCGGGTCAGCCCACAAACACACCCAGTGAGAAGGGAATGCCTCACTGGCAGGAACTGGGCCACCTCAGGGGGCTTGTGACCTTGAGCTTCTGTAGGGAACTGGGTGGAAGGGATTTCTACATGGCCACAGGCTCCTTAATTCTGGGAGTAAACATTAGCTTTATTACTGGATTTTTGCAAAGCACCTTGACAATGACTTTCTAAAGAATCTTTTCAAAAACATTCCACATAAACAGTATTAAGAATTCACCCATCCTTGACCAGTGTTTCTCAGTAGAGTGTCAGCCCCCCACCAAAAGATTGTGGGTTCGATTCCTGGCCCCAGTCAGGCAACATGCAGGAGGCAACAAATTGATGTGTCTCTCTGATCGATGTTTCTCTTTTTCTCTCTCTCTGCCCGCTTTGCCTCCCCTCTACTCTCTCTAAAAAGCAATGGAAAAAATATATGTGGGTGAGGATTAAAAAAAAAAGTCTCACCAGGATGCTGGGCTCTGCCACCCTCTTCTTACTCCCAGGATGACGGGGTGTTTCCCCACCACTAACCATCTTCTCTTTCTTTATGGCAGCACCACATGCAGGTGCAGGGACCCTGATGTCCTTGTCATCCTTGTGCAGGGGCCACACTAATCCCTGTATTGTCCAATTTTAGTGTATGTGCTGTGAAAGCAAGCATGGGTTTTATTTAATTCTTTTTAAAAAAACATATTTTTTACTAATAGTATTTTCAGAGAGGAAGGGAGAGGAAGAGAGAGATAGAAACATCAATGATGAGAGAGAATCATTGATTGGGTGCCTCCTGCACGCCCCAAACCTAGGCATGTGCCCTGACCAGAATCAAACCGTGATTTCTGGTTCATAGGTCGATGCTCCACCACGGAGCCACGCTGCCAGGCTTATTTAATTCTGTACATGCTTTTCACCAGTGTAACAGGCCTGCATTCGTGGTAAATCAGCTGGCATGAGTTGTCAAATCTGAGTGAGGGTTTTACTTCAGGGAAGATGAAGCTCCTTCAATGTGTTGTTTCATCATCTTTGCTTGGCTGCGCTTAAAAAAAGACCAAGAAAGAAACCACTTCTAAAAGCCCAAAGGCTCTTACCTTCTTGGTGTCCCATACTTGCTTAGAAAGGTTCTTGTCCGTCTCTGAGGTGGTCTCCTCCATTCCTGGGACTGTTAGTAGTAAGACTAGAGTGAGGTGTGGGGAGAAGGAGAGTCAGAAAGGGAATCTCTGCAGCTGCCTGGCAGTAGCAGGAGGGCACTCCCTGACATACAGTCACAACCGTGATAGTAATGTGCCCCAATAGTGACTTCTGGGGATTGTACTAAAGTACAAAATGGGTTTCATTAAAACAAAACAAAAACATTAAAAAAAGTCAGAGAACCTGTGACTTAAGCTCTAGAGCAGCGGTTTGCAACCTGTGGGTCACGACCCCTTTGGTGGTCAAACAACCCTTTCACACAGGTCGCCTAAGACCATCCTGCATATCAGATATTTACATTACAATTCATAACAGTAGCAACATTACAGTTATGAAGTAGCAGCGAAAATAATTTTATGGTTGGGTCACAACATGAGGAACTGTATTTAAAGGGCCAGAAGGTTGAGAACCACTGCTCTAGAGCTAAGGACCTGTATCATTCAGCCTCCCAATGGGATCGACTCAGCCTTGGAGATGGTGGGCTATAGAGAACCGCTGAGAACTTCTCTCTGGCTCCAGTGAATGGCCACTGCCCTGTGGACAGCTGACTCTCCCTCCTGGGCCATCATCACAGTGTCACATTGCTCAGTGTTAGATGGGTTGGGTGGAGCCACCATGGTAGCTGTGGCCCCTTAAGTTAGTTGAAATGCCAGCAACCCTAGAGGAGGGAAGGAGGGGAGAGAGGAGGAAAGAAGGGAAGTTCTGAGACTGGATGGACATCGTTTGAAGCCATGACACCAGTCGCACCTGAAGGCCCCTTCCTTGGACCTTTTGGTAACAGTGAGACTGAACGTTTTCTTGATGGGACTCAATTTCTTCATGCCCGTTGGGGGTTCAGGCCTGCGTTTGTGTTAAATCAGCTGGCATGAGTGGTCAGATCTGAGTGAGGGTTTTACTTCAGGGAGGATGAAGCTCCCTCGATGTGTTGAACAGAGCCAGATGGATCAACCCCGCCTTCCTGAAACTTGGAGGGGCCAGGCTCGGGGTGGGAGGGCAGCCAGGCTAACCTGACTCTGTCGCCGTCTGGCCCCGACTGGAGGAAGGAGGACAGGTAACATGTCTCACTTCCCCACCCCCCCACGGCCAACTGGACTCTGAGGTGCCAGGGGTTCCAGGCTTGCAGCTCTCTTCCACAGTCACAGAGCCCCACCCCAAAAGCCCACATTTCTGGGAGACCTCCCCCATGGAGATGCCACCTCAGAATTGCCCCCCCCCCAGTACAGGAAACAGGAGGGAAGCTCCAGGCACAATGTCCTCATCACCTCTGAACACTCAGAATCCTGGCTTTTATTAAAGACAATTCCTTCTGCAACCTCACCCTCACTGCCTGATGAGCTAGGGTCCCAGGAAGATGGAGTGCAAAGAGAGCCCCCGCAAGGGGTAAAGTTCTGGTGGACAATCCTGTCAGTAGAATCTCCCTGGTGTTTACACACTTGCACAGTGAACTGCTAATAAAAAGCAATAAGCATTTGGGCTTTAACTGTACGTGATTAATTCTCTGGTTTCAGTGTCTTGGGGCAGATAGGCCCCTATGGGGTTGCCTGGGGCTGGCCTCACAGCATCACATTCCCCTGTCTGGATGCTGCTGCCCCAGTTTTTAAGATGGCATGTGCCCTCCTGGAAGGTCCCAGTGATGCTGCCTATGCCTGGCTCCGAGGAGAGGTTGGGAGCCTGGGCACAGATGGCCCAGCTGCAGCTCTATGTACATGGCCCAGTTGGAGAGGAGCCTCTGGGCAAGAGCTGGGAAAGAATCAGCCTTTTTCCCACCCACCAAGGTCAGGATGGGCCTAGGATATGGACCACGAGGGCTCTGAGCAGCACAGCCAGGATATGGCCCAGTGTAAAGCCGTGGGTCAAGCTCTACCTGAAACTCAACATCTAGCTGTGACCTGCTTAGTCATGAGCTGATAACTGCCCCTTTTGCTTGAGCTTGCTGTCCCCTACATTTGAAAAAAACACGCAAGGTCCCCAGACTGCATGGCCATGCTGAATCCATGAACAGAAGGCAATGGGTGTTTACAGGCACTGCTTTCTCTGCCCAGAAACCTACACACGCTTCAAAATCCAACTCAAATAGTACCATCTCTGAAGTTTCCCTGAGCCCCTCCCCTTGTCCCATAGCTCCCACTGAATCTTTCTTCACAGGTCTATCCACCCATGAGCTGTGACCTCTGCGAGCACAGGGACTACCATTGGACTTGCCTGACCTGAGGAAAGATGCCCATGTACCTGGCCCATACCTCTTTTCTGGTGTGCATCCTGGGACCCCCCTATAAAGGGCTCTGGCTGGGTGGGTGTCATTGTGCTCTGGTGCAGGGCAGAGTCAGAATTGGTCCTAGGAGAGGAAAGAGACAGTGAGCAAAGGCCCTAAGGATGATGAAGAACAATCCTGGCTCCACTTGATCCAGGACACACCGGATGGGACAGAGGCGGGGCAGTTGTAGGTCTTTTTTTCGTGGGCTGTTGCACCTGAGCATTATTCTCAAAAGAACCACAGGAGTGACCATGACCATGGTTTTCATCTGCAAAGCCTGTTTGCAGAAGAGATGTCCCTCTGTCCTAACCTGCCTGTCTGTCCCCAGTCCCGCCCACCTCCCCACCCTCTGTGTACTTCTCTGCTTTAAGGAAAGGACAGAGCCTTCTTGCTAAAACCTTTTGGAGAGGGGGCCCAATGGTCCCACAGTGGCCAAGCCTTGTGGGTACAAGCCCCTAGCCCATCACTGGGTCCCTTTTGGTAAAAAACACCAATGGGCAACCCCACTCTCTAGGACACTCAGTTGCAAACCAGGTGTGATGGGCAGGAAGAGGCAGTGACATAAGGCTCAGAGAAGGCCCCAGAAAGAATGCATCTCCTGGGTGGGAAGGGGAGGGAATGGTGTGTGTGTGTGTAGGTGAGGATCTTGTTCCAATCAGCCCAAATGCTGCCAAGAGCTCAATCTTCCGCTCCAGGGTCAGGACAATCTGCCCCCAGCTACAGGTGCCTGGAGGGAGGGTTTTCAGAACAGCCTTCAGCTGCCCAGGACACTATGGGTGCCCAAGGGTAGCTGGGTGGACATGCAAAGGTGCATCAGGACAGCTAGCAATTCGGGGATGAGAATAAGAGCTGCATGCACCCAATGGGGATGACCCAGAAACTGAGAGTGACATGGAAGGAACTTAGTTAAGGGAGAAGAGCAGATTACAAAGGATCAGCCATTCTCTGATCCCAGGGTTAGCTGCACAGTGAGGAACCAGTCAGGGTCCTAGCCACACCCTCACCCCAACTATGTGTCTTTGAGCAAGTATTCTGACCTCTCTATGCTCACTTTCCTTATATCTACAAAGGGGATGATAACAACACCTATTATTCCACAATGCTCTGTGTGTTTTATATCAGTTAATGTATTGATGGCTGAATAGGGCCTGATATATGATAAGTACTTGGTGGGAATTTAATTATGCTATTGAGTTAAATATATTACATACTGTATGATACACATATATATTTTTAAGTTTCCTTACTTTTGGTCTTTTTTTTTTTTTTTTTTTTACTGAAATTGCATATACACATACACATTTTCTGTATGTGGTAAAGTATGGGTAACAAGCTTTACCATTTTTTTCATAATTTAATTTTTTAAAATTTATTGATTTTTAGAGAGAGGCAGAAGGGGAGAAGAAAACATCAATTTGTTGTTCTACCCATCCATGCATTCACTGGTTGATTCTTGTATGTACCTTGACTGGTGATAGAACCTGCAACCTTGGCATATTGAGACAATGCTCTCACCAACTGAGCTACCCAGCCAGGGCCTTAACCATTTTTAAGTGTATACTTCTGTGGCATTAAATGGATTCACACTGGGTGCAGCCAACACCTGTATTATAGACTAGAGGCCCAGTGCACAAATTCATGCATGGGTAGAATCCCTCAGCCTGGCTGGCAATCGAGGCCTATCGGGGAGCTGACCAGTTTGGGGGAGGGACCCCAGGAGGTTGGCCAGCCAGCCCCTCAACTGGGGCCTATTGGGGGACCAGCTGGCAGGGAGGAGGGACCACGGGAGGTTGGCTGGCTGGTCAGAGGGGCCGGCCGGCCAGGGAGAGGGGCCACAGGAGGTTGGCTGGCCACGGGAGGTTGGCTGTGGGAGCACACTGACCACCAGGGGACAGCTCCTGCAGTAAGTGCCAGTCTCCTGGTGGTCAGTGCGCATCATAGCAATTGGTCTACCAGTCATTCTGGTCGGTTGGTCCTAATAGTCACTTAGGCTTTTATATATATAGATATTTATACTTATTATTTTAGACCTTTCTAGATAATGGTATTATGGGTGCTTTTTCCTCCTTTGGGTACATTTATTTATTTTCCTAGTCTTCTAGCAATAAATGTATAATACTCTTTATAATCATATTTTCATGACTGTTTAGCAATGTGGGAAACCACAACATTAAGTGGGGGGGGGGAAGCAAGCTACAATGCTGAATAACCTATCTAATAAAGATGGAATATGCTAATTGACCCTCATACCATTGCAAAGATGGCAGCGCCCACAGCCAATAAGGAGGGAATATGCTAATTGACTGTCCCACCCTCAAAGATGGCAGTGCCCACAGCCACAAGATGGCAGCCCCCAGTCCCCTCAGCCCCGCTGGGGCAGCAGGCGTGCTGCTTCATGTACCTACCTCCGGAGTCCCCCAGTCCCTTTAGCCCCACAGCCGCTCAGGGTTGGCCCAAAGTGCAGGCAAGCCTCGGATGTCGGCTCCCCAGCCACCCAGGGCCGGCCCAAGGCGCAGGTAACCAGGGCCAGTTGAGGTTTATGCTGCCAGCAGTAGCAGCAGCAGAGGTGTGATAGGGCGTCGCCTGCACCTGAGGGCTCCTGTGAGAGGGGGCAGGCTGGGCTGAGGGACCCCCCTTCCTGTGCATAAATTTTCATGCACCAGGCCTCTAGTCTAATATAATTTCAGCTTTGCTTAAAAAAGAAAAAGAGCTGATTTCTAAAAACTCCTAGATGCTTTTTTATTTTTATTTTTTTTAATATATATTTTATTGATTTTTACAGAGAAGAAGGGAGAGAAATAGAGAGTTAGAAACATGGATAAGAGAGAAACATTGCTCAGCTGCCTCCTGCACACCCCCTACTGGGGTTGTGCCTGCAACCAAGGTACATACCCTTGACCGGAATCGAACCTGGGAACCTTCAGTCCGCAGGCCGACGCTCTATCCACTGAGCCAAACTGGTTAGGGCTCCTAGATGCTTCTTAGTTTTGTCATTTTAAAGTGACTACATATTGATTTTCCAAGCACAACCAGGATGAAAGTTTGGTTTTGTTTTCAACAAGAGGGCTAGGGGCTGGTTCTGGGTCACTGACCTTCTCCAGCTGGTGTCCGAGGGTGGTGAGAGGTACACAGTACCATAGGGGCAGCTGTCCGCTTGAGTGTGAGTTAAGGGGTCGGTGCTGTTGACTCAAGCCCCACCCTAGCCCCAAAAACCTGGTGGCCAGGCTACTGGGAACCTGCAAACAGCTGGGTCTGCAGGGCGGGAAGGGGGGGCCCTTTCCTTCCTGGCTGCGAGTGGCCCCAGGGGTGGCCCCATCCACCTAGCACTCAGCACTCACCCCCTGCGAGCACACGTGCGGGCTACACCCCTTCCAAGAGGGGCCCCAGCTGTGAAACTGGGGCTCATGTGGGCGGCAGGGAGTCTAGTTCAGATGACCCAGGTCATGACTCTTAATTCTGGGCTGATGGGCGGATCCTGGGGCCTGAGGGCTCTGTCTGGGGCCCAGCTGGTCAGGCTTCCCCTGCCGCGGAAATGAGAACCAGGAAAGAACAGGCTCCTCTGTTCTAGGAAGCAGAGGGTCCCAGAGCAGCACTCAGAGACTCGGGGGGGTGGGAGGGGCTGGCTGGCTGGCTGAGCACCAAGGGTGGCCAAGGTCGGGGGGAACTCCTACGCTTTCTGCTTAGCTAAGGTACGGGCAGGAATTTTGTGTTTTGAGAGCAGTACACCAACATGGCCTTAATGTGTAGTCACTCTGCTCACAGCCTTCCTGGGCCCCACTGCCCAGCTGGGCATCCAAGTGCAATGTGATCCAACATCACCTTCCCCAATTCTCACCTCAGGCTGCATGCTCCAGTGGCCACTTCTGCATCCTTGTTCCCTGTGTCCCTCAGTCCCCACCTAGCCAAAGGTTCTTCAGCTTGCCTCACTGCCTCCTCTGGGAAGTCCACTGGGGTGACCCCGATCCATCCCCAGAGCTGGTAGCTCCATTAGTTAGACAAACTCAGGCTCCTGCAGTCACCAACGGGGCCCTGCCCCCCTGCCCAAGTCCTCTGGGAAAAGGATATCTGCCGACCATGTTTGTCCACTGACAGAGGCCGGCGGTGTGGGGAGCCGAGCCGGCCACGCTCCCGGTATACTCTGTCCACCAGCCCATGGTGCCGGGTAGTCCGGCTGGTGTCCAGGCCTGAGGACTGGAAGGGTGTCTGGGGGAGGGGAGAGGGAGAGAAGGAGATGGGGGAAAAAATGAGAGAAACCCTAAACGTTTATCAGCTGTAGCCTTTCCCCAGGATCTGACCTCATGGCCTCCCCCTCCTGAGACAACCTTGGCCACCATGAGGCAACCCAGACCAATTTCCTCCTTTGACCAGCTCCTGGCCTCCTAGCACTATGGGTTGGGGGCAAGTTGAGGACCCCGGGCGCCGAGGTGGCAGGCGTGCAGTGCGGCAGGCATGCACAGGCCAGGCAGAATGACACAAGCTCGGGGCCAGTGCTGGCCAGGGTGCCAGGGGTGCAGATGGCCTGAGCAGTCCCCAACTCCCAACCCCCACCCTCAGCCTCACCAGGTGCAGACAGGCCTCCGCCTTCTCTCTGGGGCCTGGCTGGCCTCCTTTTCCCACCTACGTCATCCCTGGAGAGGCTGCCAAGAGACAGCCAAGGCTCTAGCCGGGACGTTAAGGGCCACCTGGCCAAGTGCTGGCTCCCTGGAGGCTCCTTGTTGAGCCTGGGGTCAGCCTCAACTGAGACACAGCCCCCAGCGTGCTCCACCACATCCTGGCAACACCATTAGCCAAGTGTAGGCACTTTTTGGAGCCCTAGCCCATGGCTTGGCAGGATAGGGCTTATTCCAGCACCTGGGGCTGGCATGAGGTCCCCGGCCAGGCCCTACTCCCTCTCCCAGCTCCATGCCCCTGGGGCCCCCAGGAGCCTGCTCTCTGCCATCCCTAGCACTGTGGGGCTTCTTGCCATCTGACTGTGGTAAGACTGGCAACTTTGGCCAGCTCTGGACACAGCCTGTCCCCCTCCCTGGCCATCTGGTCCTTGGGCCTTCCTCTCTTCTCTGGGAAGTGGGGCAAAAAGTGGCTGAAATTCTGCTCTTCCCCATGTATCTAAACACCTCACTTGGCATTCCGGGCTGACTGCTCTCCAGTGTTCAGGACCCCTCTCTCTCTCTGACCCAGCACAGACCTGCCAGCTTGGGAGATAGCAGGTACCCACTGTAGTACTGGCCACGACTTGGGCTCAGCTGCAGAGGGAAGGAGCCTCACCCTCCAGCAGGGACACCAGAGGGCAGAGGCCATTCATCTCCTCTCAGAGATGCCTGGGGAGCAGAGGGGAAACTGAGATGGCTGAAGCATAGCCAGAGGCAGAGAGAAGCTCGGCCCGGCTGCAGCCCAGCTCACCAGGCCGAGTCTAGAATCTGTGCACACCTGTGTGCATGTGTCATGGGAACAAACATGCAGCGTTGGTGCACATGCTTGAATTCTTGGGTGGGATCTCTCCATGTGACCACACGAATTTCCCCAGACACGGGGGGGGGGGGTGCAGAGCAAATCAGTTTCCATTTGTCAGACAGGACACCTCCCACCAGGCCAGGAGGGCAGCCACACTGGGGACACCAATAGCCTCAGCCCAGGGACTCATTTACCAGAAAGACAGGAGCCGCTGCCAGGGCATCCCCCAGAAATCCGCTGGGCTAGAATGCAAAGAACCAGATTCTGAGATGCTCCAGCCTCACCCTCAGCCCTAGGACCCAGCAGGCCCTGCACCCTTAGCCCTGCGGCCACAGTGATCCAGGCAGGGCCAGCTTGGGTGCCCAGAAGATGCTCCCCTCCAGGGAGGAGGGACAGGAAGACAGAGGAAGGGGGAGAGCCAGGGAGGAGGAAATACCCTGACAAAGAGGTCAGGTTTTGGTCAGCTAGACAGCCCTATGCATCTGTTCTCATGAAGCTGTTCAAGGAGGCCATACCCCAGGGGCCCAGAGGTGAGCAGGGCAGACCCAGAGTCAGTCTGGGGGACCCTGGCCAGTGGCCTACTGCATCCTGGCAGTATTATCATGGGAGGAGTAGGAGTTGGTGGATTACTCAGGCGGGAGCTGAGCTCCCTGAGGACCAGCCCAAGTTCCACCTGGCCTATCAGCATGTGGACAGATGTGATTGTTTCTGGGGCCCTGTCTCAGCAATGGGATGAAAGTGTGACAGTCCACGGACCTGTCCCTGCAGAGCAGACACCATGCTGGAGTGGCCTGGCTCTCAGCCCTGGCTCCCTGGCCCACCTTGCTTCCACTTCCACCTGTAGACTAGGGTCAGGCATGGCCCCAGGGAAGAGGTTGGCACTGCGCCCAGGTGGTGAGTTTTATCTCTCGCTATTTATGATAAGGATGTGCATGGCGGCCTTGTGGCCTGCGGGAGCCATGCTGTATAGGTCTCTGCCAAGAAACATTTGTAGACAAGTGGGGTCAGGTCTCAGGGCCTCCTTCTGAGAACCTCTGGGCTTGAGGATTAGTGAGGCTGATGGAGCCAAGCCCCAGAGGCCCTAAGCGGTTCCCGCTGCTGCACAGACGGCCAACAGGTGTAGTGGCTGCCGAAACGCTCGCAGCCAGACTGAGGCCTTGCTGTAGGGTCTGCTGATGCTGACAGGGGACTGGCCTGGGGGGATCTGGGCAAGGTCTGGCCAGGCCATCCCAGGGACAGAAAAGGAGTAGGAGGGTGTGGGGTGGGAGGGCTGCAGCAATAGTTTGCTGACCCTGGCTGTCCAAAGCAGCCATCACACATACAAACTTGCCCCGAGTGGATGTGCCCCAGGTGGGAGCCCAGGGCAAGCTCCCACAGGAAGGCAGTGTGGGAAGAGTGTGTGGGGGATTGCTCACCTGGAACGGTAAATCCACAGTGCCGCTCCCAATCTGGTTCACATTGGGCAGGGACCCGCCATAGTACTGGCCACGGCTTGGGCCCAGCTGCAGGTACTGGGACTTTTGGAGCTGGAGCTGTAAGAGAAACCGGCAGCTGCAGCGAGGGCTGGCGGGGCCATCCTCAGCACACCTTGCCTGGAAAGGACCCATGTGGTGGGGTCAGTAGCACCAATCACAGAGGGTGTAGGACCCATGACTCAGATTCTCAAAGAAGCCAAGTGTCTCTCCACCCAAAAAGGCAGAATCAGAAACCCAAGGTGCCACAAGAGGTCCTCCCCAGGACTGTGTGAACCTCAGGGAGCTCTCTTTGCTGGCTGACGCGGCAGGTTTGTGAATGAGTAAGAGTACAGAGCAGGCCTGGAGCCTAGAGCCTGAGGAGGAGGCCTCTCACCCACCCGGGGGAGCCATTTCTCATCGTGGCCAAAGGCTTTGTTACTGGGCACAGGCCAGATGCTGCAAAATGATGCCTGGACAGACACAAGAGAAATCTTCTTTCCAATGGCCTGGATCAGAGGAGTCAGCTCAGGAGTGTAGCACTGACTTTCAAAGTGCAAGATGTGGCTCCTCCGCAGCACACAAGACAAGCAGATCTGCCTGAGTTCAAGGGTCCTGCCCAAGGCCCCAGGCTCCTTCTGCCTGTCCGTCCCTCTGCCTCACCCAGTGGGCAGAGTGGTTGCCTCTCATCTGGGCTGGCGGAATTCCTGCAGTCCTCTGCCCATCACTCAATTGGGGACTTTTCCCACTTCAGAACCCGAGGTTCCCTGACCAGCAATGGCTGCCTCGGACCTGGACAGGCAATCGCTTCTTCTCTCTCAAGCAGCTGATTCCACTTTTTGGGAACAAGATCAGATGCCCTGGCCCAGGCAGCACCACCTGTAGCCCATCACACTGCTGTGGGAGGCAGTTATCATGAACAAGGGGTGGCTGGCTGGGCATGCAGGAATGGGTGGTGTTGCTCTCCCAGCTGGGGCGGTTGCTAGGGTCAACTCTGTGTACACAACAAGGCCACTTGTGGTCCCTCACAAACAGCTCCTAGTGGCCTCCAGCAGCTGGCCGCCCACACCACCCGCTCCCCAACTAGCGCCTAGCTTCCGGGGGGGGGGGGGGGAAAAAAAAATGGAGGGAAAGTGAAGCCTGGAAACGGGCCACCCTCTCAGCAGAGCACCTAACTCAGGTGAAGAGCTGTTTCCTGCAGGCCGCATGGGACTGGGAGAGGCTGCCCTTGCTCTATTCCTACCCGGGTGGTTTCAAGTCTGTGGGCCCAGCCCAGGGTCTGTCTTTGACATGAATACCCCACTGTGTCCCTCCCCACAGTTATGAGGAACAACACAGGCTAGAGGCCCCACCCATGCCTTGGCACAGGTCACCTCAGACCCGAGACCCACTCCATTCCCTCCTTGTGTTTGAGCCCTGCTTCCATCTCTTAAGAACCACCTCGGGCCACAGCCCCCTTCTGGCCCTCATTTACCCCCACCAGTTTCCTCATCTCAGCCCTGGGCCCCTTTGTTCCCCGTACCCTCTCAGCACATGCAAAATGTCCTTCTCACCTGTCCCTGCCCAACACCCACTGCCCTGCAGAGAGCCCTGTGTAAATGGTGACTTCTCCAGCCTCCCTCAGTCCCACCTTGCTGGGAGGGCCCCTACAGATCTGTCAGCTTCTGTCAGTGCCTACACCGTGCTGGTCACAACTCCCCCAGCACAGGCAGCAGCATCCACTGGGCTGGGTAAAGTGGAGACCACAAGGGCAGGGAGACCACAAGGCCAGTGGCTCTGGGAAGATGTGGTGTGATGGATGCAGCCACTTCTTTAGGGCCCTCCCCAGGCCTCAGTACCCCCACCCCTGTGCCAACAGGCTGCAGTGACACCCTCACCTGTCAGCCTCTCCCAGGCTTCACTCTCTAGACAAGCCAGCCTTGACCAGGCTAAATGGTGGGCCTTCTAATGAGATTAAGGGGAGTCAGTGTGCTGAAGGCTGAGCTCTGTCCTGCAAAGCCAGCGAGAAGTCGTGTGCTCTGGACAGGCCTGTTTTGCCCCTCTCACCACAAAGGCTTCACAGTCTGGCCCTTTGCTTTCCCCGACCACCAGGCTCCACAACTGAGATGGCTGCTGCTGTGAGGCCTTTGCTCTGGTGCTGCCTCCTCTATGAGGCTCTTCCCACTGGGCTAGCCCAACACTGAGCACCTCGCCCCCACAGGGTTACCTCCTGCACAAAACTACCTGACTGAGGTCTGTCTGATCCCATCAGATTGTCGACCCCATAAGGACTCTGGCACAATGGAAGTGTCCAGCACACATGGGGAACAAGTAAAAATAAGGTGACATATGAGGACAGGAACAAGAGTTGGATACACTCAGGATCCCAGGCAGGAACCACATTTCTCCTGTGCCCACATGGGACCCTTAGCCCCAATCTCCAGGAAACTGAGACTCAAGAAAGAAGAGATGGCTGTTCGAGTGCAGAGGCAGCATGTGCCCCAGTCTGGGGCCCAATCTGAGAACCACCCATGAGAGGGAAGCAAAGAGCACACTTTGTCCCCTTGCCAGCTCAGGCACATGATGCTTCTGGGACGGAGCACTGACTGGGATCCAGGGGGATTTGCACACCCTGGCTCAAGCCACCTTTGGTAGTGTCCCTGGGAGGGAAAGACCGGAGCTTCACCAGGTTCTCCAAGTGTGCCAGCAGCCATGAGGACACATGCAGAGAGCCCCCAAGAACTCCTAATAGGATCTAATTTTGATTCTTACGGAGCCACGTGAGTTTTCTGGGGCCACCATTCTCTGACAGGGGTATTCACCCAGTTTGTCTGGCTGTATTCCTCCAGGTTCCTTCCCAGGTTCAGCTTGGGCAGCAGGTAGTGAGTTCCAGATGGTAGACAGCCCCTCCTGGGCTCCATTCCCCACACTGGGCCCTCCCTCTATATTGCTCAGTTGAGGTGACATGTGCATGGCTATGACTATCTCACTGAGGCCATGGAAGACAGCACCAAACACCCTGGACCTAGTTATTCCAGGGAGAGGAAGACTGAGGGTCACCAGCTCTGACTTGTGACTCCCCAGTCTCCATCCTGTGGCTGCAAGAGATTGCAGTGACCACTCATGCCACGTGTCCATGGGTCATGCTGTCTCTCCCAGGTCTCCCCTTACCCGCTGTGTAAAGGATTGGAAACCTGGGCTCTGAGGGAGATGGCTGTACTAGCAGGTGCCCCAAAAGGAAGGCCCAAAATAGCTTTTCTTTTTACACTAATCCTCATTGGAGGATATGTTTCTATTGATTTTAGAGAAAGAGAGAAAGGGAGAGAGAGAGAGAAACATCAATGTCAAAGAGAAGCATCGATCAGCTGCTTCCCATATGTGCCCAACCAAGGACTGAACCTGAAACCTAGGTGTGTGCCCTGACTGGGAATTGAACCCACAACCTTTGGGTGTAGGGCAGTGGTCAGCAAACTGCGGCTCGCGAGCCACATGTGGCTCTTTGGCCCCTCGAGTGTGGCTCTTCCACAAAATACCGACTTCTGCGCATGGGCCACGAACTTTCAATCGCACTGTACATGCGTGCCCGCACGTGGTATTTTGTGGAAGAGCCACACTCAAGGGGCCAAAGAGCTGCATGTGGTTCGTGAGCCGCAGTTTGCCGACCACTGGTGTAGGGGATGACGCTCCAACCAACGGAGCAACCTGGCCTGGGCTTTCCCTTTTTAAAACTTTTTATCAAAACAAAGTTCCCATAACATATAACAAACCATTTTAACATATACAATTCAATGACATCTAGTACATTCACAATGTTATGCAACCATCACCTCTTTCTAGTTCCAGAACATTTCTGTCAACCCAACGGGAAACTGCATCCCCAATTAGCCGTCGCTCCCCATCTTCCTCCCCCTCAACCACCACTAAGCCACTTTCTGTCTCTATGGATTTTCCTGTTCTGCACCTTTCATACAGATGGAATCACACATATGTGGCCTTTTGTGTCTGACTTCCTTCACTCAACACAATATTTTCTAGGTTTATCTCCATGTTGTAGCATGTGTCAGTGCTTCACTCCTTTTCATGGCTGAATAAGGTTCCACTGTGTGGATGAACCACATTGTGTTTATCCTACTTCTACTGAGGGACTCTTGAGCTGTTTCTACCTTTTGGCAACAGTGAATATGGTGCTCCTGTGGACATAGGTATACAGTTTGAGTCCCTGTTCAAATCTCTAGGTATATATCCCTAGGAGTGGAATGGCTAGGTCATATGGTAACTCTGTAATTTATTTTTTGAGGAATGGCCATTCTGTTTTCCATAGTGGCTGTACCATTTTACATTCCCACCAATACTACATAAGGGTTCCAATTTCTCCACACCCTTGCCTATGCTTGTTCGTTTCTGTTGTTTTAACAGTAGTCATCCTGATAAGTATGACACATCTCATTGTGGGTTTGGTTTGCATTTCCCTGGTGACTAGTAATGTTGAGCACCTTTTCATGGCTTGTTGGTCATTTCTCTAACATCTTTGGAGAAATGTCTGTCAAGTCCTTTGCCAATTTTAAAATTGGGTTTCTCTTTTTTTGTGTTGAGTCATAAGAGTTCTTTATATTTTTGAATATTAATCCCTTATCAGCTATATGGTTTGTAAATATTTTCTCCCATTCTGTGAGTTCTTTTTACTTTCTTAATAGTCTCTGGATGCACAAAAGTTTTAAATGTTGATAGGGTCCAATTAACCTATTTTTCTTTTGTTGCTTGTGCTTTAGTATCATATCCAAAAAACTATCGCCAAATCCAAGGCCAGGAAGTTACACCTATGTTTCCTTCTAGATTTAGCTCCTATATTTGCTCCACTTCGAGACTTTGAGTTAATTCTTATTAACGTTGTTGCTGCCCTGGTCCTACATCACAGCCTACCCTCATGCCAACCAAGGGCTCCATGGTGAGGAGCCCAGCCAACCCCCAGAAGCATGCCAGGGACACTGGAGTTTTGAATCACACATCTGCTTAGTGAGGGAGGGAATAATGAATGAATGAGGGAATGAATGAAAGCATCACAGGCTTGTGGCCCAGCAAGGATTCCAGGCTGAGTCACCACCCCCCCTTCACCCCCCAAGCTGAGTGAGATACTCCCCAGCTGCCTCCTTATTCGTTCCCAAAGTGTAAATACAGAACCAGATACACAAACA